AGAACTGAAATTTCTGAAATTTATATTTTATAGCACAGTTCTTTTTATAGCAAATGTATTTGCTTCATGGCAGTTATTTTAATATTCTAATGATATAAATTTATTTTAAATTCTTGATAGTGAAAAGTAACTTGATCAGATTTAATAACCTAAGTAGTTTTAGTGTTGGAATTCACAGAGCACTTCCCCTAATTTAAGGAGGCGGGGTAGAAGAGGGATTTATTCCTAATGAAAACACTACATAAAAGTAAAATCCAAGAGAAAAATTCCACACTGGGCCTAATTGTCCTGACAGTTCCTTTTTGGCCCTAAGTTTAAAAATATATTCTCCAAGGGACATGGATGAAGCTGGAAACCATCATCCTCAGAAAACTTAATACAGGAATAGAAAACCAAACACCACATATTCTCACTCATAAGTGGGAGTAAAACACTTCTTAAAAAAATAAAAGATGATAGATAGGCTATCTCTGTAATTTGACAAATTAATATAATTCTCTCTATAAAATACATCTGGATTTAATCACCCTGTTAATATAACTTTATTTCCCTTGAAAATTTAAAATATCTGACAGTGTCCCTGAGAGTTTGCTGTGATGCCCTGGAACATCTAAGTGCTGTTTGGGAATCTCAGTTATTACTCTCTTGTGTAAAGTATAAATAAATTGAATGAATGTGTATTATTAGGTAATTCTCACTTATTTGGGGGATAATATTCAAAATTAAGTAATCATCTTTTTAGAAATTCATGGCCTTTGTGAAAAATTAGATTAAATTAGACAAGTAGCCCATTTAGTTGTAATATGAAATAAAATTACAGATAGTTTAAAATTGTCCTTATATGATGTTGTGTAATATTTTTAATGAGAACTTTAGTATAAATGTAATTATTATTTGATTAATATCATTATGAGGATTCTTAAGAAATAAAATATAATACTTCACTTCTATTTCTCTATAATTACATGTGTCATGGTTATCGGGAGATGAATGGGTTGAATTCTGACTTTTACTCTAACTGGTCTAAGGCTAAACTGAGCATAGGTAACCATTTCCCTTGCCAGGGATTAGTTTAGGAGTGACTTATGACCCTGTGGCTAATTAAATGTAATGGGAAAGTCAGGGATCAGACTTCTGGGAAAGGTTTCCTCACTGATAAAAAGACTGACAGAAAGGGAAGCTTCTTTCACTGAACACTGCTGTATCTTCATGGGATGTGCTGAACTCTGGAAGCTCATTTTGTGATCATGAGTAGAGATAGCTGAGGAAAAAACCAACAAATTTAGTCCAGCAGGGCAAGAGGGAAGACTTCTGTGTCCATGAGGTAGATGTTGAATTAAACAGTCTCTGAACAAGTCAACCATGTCACTTCTTGCTGTGAGAGTATAACTTTTCATTATATACATTAAGCACCCTTAACTGATACAGTTACTCTTACTCCTTAATTATTGGTGCTATTCAAACTGAAGTTAAAGACTCAGGACCCTTGTGGGTTTCATGTAGGCCTTCAAATTTGTGTTTTGAAAAACACTCCCAAGTGATTCTAAAACCCCTTCATCTTCCTTCTAATCCTTTCCACCTCCATTGAGAACATCTGGAGAAAGATAGTTATGAAATTGAATGAAAGGACTTGGTGAGTGATTAATTATATGTGGGGGTCAGGGAAAAGGAGGGGTCATGGTAACTACCGTGTTTCTGATTTGGGTAACTATGTAGATGGTGCTGCCAGTTCAGGTGATAAGGACCATAACTAAAAGAACAACTTCAGTTTTGTACATTCTTCATTAGAGGTATCTGGGAACATTTAGAAAGTGATACCAGAAAGTAGTTAGAGCCATAATCCTGGAGAAATATCTAAACTACAAGACTAAGAGATTTAGTAGGTATAGTTGAAACTATGGGTGTAGATGAGATTGCTTACAGGTATATCTTATTGAGTAGGGAAGAGAAAAAACTATGAATTTCAGAGAACACTAGTATTTCAGTGTACAGTGGAGGACAAAGTAGTTGAGAAGGAGGAAAAACAATTAGTGATATCAACAGTGACACATCTCATTTTATCTTAGATTTTTCTCAGATAAGTTCAAAGACCTTTGTTCTAAGAACAAATTCTAAGAACTTTGATCAAGATGTAAACTTTAGTGTTTTTTCTTTTTAAGTAAATTCTTAAATGCTTGTTTTCCTTTTCAGTTGATCAATTTATGGTGCTAAATGGTAACCTGATGGGATAAATAATTAATATGCCACTCTAACCCTAGCAATTGGCTGTCTTCTCTCTTATAAGATCAATTTCATTGTAATGCTTATTACTAGAGATACACTGGTATGGAGCCCAAAACCCCCCAAAATATAAATTTTCATCAGTCCTTGTTTCCAGTCATTAATATGATAATGGAAGTGCTGTTTTAGGACATACACAGAAATATGTATTATTACCTCTTTCATTTTGCTGTTCATAATTTTGTATTCTATTGCATCCATTCTTTTTGTTATTCCTATTTTTATCATTTGACATATGTTAGCCAATATACTCTTTTGGCATAAAAATAAAACATTTTGGAGAGTTAGTAGGATTCTGAAACCCAAATAATTTTTCTCAGCTAAGAAATATTCTTTAAATGCAAAAGTCTGTAGAAAAGGAAAACTTGATAACTTCTGGAGAGTATTGTCTTAAACCTTTCACATAATCTGTGGATGCTAACCTAGAATTTTGTGTGTGCATGTGTGTGTGTTTGTATATGTGTCATATTAAAAACACTGTGTAGTGAAAATACCAGCTTTAATACACTCTTTTGTAATAAACGTGGAAGTATAATTTTCAATTAATATTACTGCTAAGAGAGTCCCTAAAAGCTATTTGCATGCATTTTATGCCTCCCTCCAAGTCTCTCTATCTTTTTTTACACTTCAGTTTCAATAGCACCTGTAATTAAGGAAGAAAACCAAGGCCTGGGAGCTAGGTAGGACTTCCAACTATTGATCTGTGTAAACCCAGTTTATGCTGTCAGGGGAGAAACAGTCAACTGCTGAGCTGCTTTGTCACTGACATAAGCTGAGAGAGGATTTTTTTTTTTTTTTGTCTATACTGTTTATACACTAGTCTATAGACCTGCTGGCTGGTTGAATTTTAAAGAGTGCGGAGGTTTAAAGACTTGTCCCCTGAGGGATGCTTCTGCCAGTTGGGAAGCGAGCTGAGGCTGTTTTGCAGAAGTGTGTGCATGTGTGTTGCTTGTGGAGGAAGGGAGGGGGAGGGTGTGAAAGATTGAGCAACTAACTGGGAAGCATTCTTCTTAATTTGAGTCTTAAAATTGATGTGAAATATATTACTAATTTGTGTATTTAGAGGCAGGTATTGAATTTTGAATATTTGTTCTTTATTGTTACAGAAATTATGTGGACAATTTTATAGGAGGAGGTCCGAATAGTGTTCACATGTATAGTAAAAATAGTGAATAGTTTCACTTTATGAAGTACAAGATAAGGATTAAGCAAGGGTCAAATGAAAATGAACTGGTCTCATTTGCAATGAACTGTTTTTCAGTTTACAGAATTTAACTTACTGCAAGTTTAGTGACTCTTTTAACTACATTTAACAAAATATTGTCAGTGGTGAAACAGTTAGCTTTCGCTTAATGTGGAATCTGTGCTCATACTTTTAAAAGCACGTGATTATAAGCAATCCAGGGTACCCTGCCCTAGGAATAGATGATTTTTTTTTTTTTACAAGATGCTTTTCTTTCTGCTTATGTGCATTAAGGTACTTGAAGCTTTCTTAGGTATTGGTGTTGAAATTTTATAACGTTTTATTTTTAGTTGACACTTTATTGTAGTCTACCTTTTTAAAAGAATGCAAGAAAATCCACTTTAAAACACTCAATGCTATATTTATGTATAGGAGTTAAATATTCAGATACTGATGACTTCTGTAGACCTTAGTTTTAGTGGCAAAGAAGTGGTAGCGAAAGTATTGTTCAGTAAGAATGAATGCTGCATTAAGATATTTACTCTTTTTTCTTTTCAATAGGAAACACCCTTATAAAACTCTTTGTCTTGTAAAATTGCCTGACTTCGAAGCTGTATGATGTTGTCTTCAAGTTTAAAGTTTAACTTTTGAATCAGACTTAATTTTAAGTTATTTTTCAAATAAAATAGATTTTTAAGACTTTGTTTGCCAAGTAACTGATAATTATTTTTATTTTATTGTAGTTGTTAATGTGTATGGTTTCTAAAAGATTTTTAAATTATTTTTAATGACAAATAACTGAAGGTTTCAAAATCATTCAGATTATTTTCTGTATTTTATTAAAGCATTGATTTTCATATTAGGCAATTCTTAAATGAAAGTGCACAGAATAGAAGCTATATTTTTGAAAGCTTGTTTTTAGATACACATTTCTTTAAGAGTGTTAAGATAAAACAATACCAAGAATTGAATCATGTAAATGTTTCTTTGGCTATAGAAAGTCTTTCTCTCTCTCTCTTTTTTTTTTTTTTTTTTTTTTTTTTTAACTTTTTGACTATGGGACATGTAGAGTTGTTATACCTCTCAGTAATTCATTCTGCTGCCAACTTCATTCCCTTTTCTCTGCCTGCATTTTAATTGAAACAACATTTATATTTTTGAGCCAGGATCTGTCAGAAGTCCCTATGGCTAGACTGTGGTACAAGTAGCAGCAGACGTAGCTTACCCATATGGTGCGGTGCTTCTTGTAAAATCCATATGGCCTTGTTGAAGGGAATCCCAGCGGGGATGTGAAGGGTGTTAATACCCTTCAGGCCAGGCCTTTCCCCCCTGGGGTTTCTGTGGCATTGTCAGTGCAATCTGCCAAAGCACAAACTTAATTCCTTTTTAATAATCAATTATTTTAGTCTAGGAACCTGTGCTATTTTTCTTAAGGACAAAGAAAGCAACTTTTTTCCTAGAAAATGTCTCTTAAGTTTTAACTGCATCTTAAAAAATATTCTAAAACATTTCTCTTTTTTGAAATTTCCATTTGTAGGAAATACTACAGAGTGTGCCAAAGTTCTGTTTTCCCTTTGACGTTGAAAGGTACAGTATAAGTATCATTTAAAATAAATGTAGCTTATTTTAGTACATACTTAAAAATGATTACATATGCTTTTTTAATAAAATAAAATGTCCCTTTACTGCTTCTCACAGAAAGGCTAGAGATTGAAAAGAGGTTGAAAATTAGTATTTGGAAGACGAAGCCTTTTAAATCACATCTTTTATTTTCTCTACTATGACCAGTTAAGACAAGTCTGAAAACACTATTGCCAATAGGTTCTATTTTTTCCCTTTATTCTCTCTTCTTCAGGTAGAAATTGTGAGCACTAGTGGAAAAAAATATTAATATGACCTTGATCAGAGTCTTAGAATTATGTCTTGATATATATGTTTCCTGGTTCCTATCTCACTTCATCCTCATTGAAAAGACCGTCTGTGTCATGCTGTAAAACTCATGGCTACTTGTCTCTCAATTATAGCTTTATAGAAGTAGTGTAATATTATGGAAAGCTATAGGGAAACTTATAGTTTTGCAAATCTTATTTTTATATTTCACTGAACAAATATTGAATGATGAAATTGCATACAGTTGAAATTTCATGGAACATACAGCCCTGTGAGCATAACAACAGATCATTTATTGTTTTTCATGTGATTTTTAAAATACTCTTATCATCAGTTTTCTTAAGAGGGTGATATGAAGGGTTTTTGAAAGAATATTTGTTTTAAGAAAATACTTTGCTATAGTAAATATTAGTGAGACTTTATGATTTTACTGTATTAAAGATAAAGCCTTCTGAATGATGGACTAATCAGTACTAATAAGCATTGTTGATGAATGATACTCCTTGTTTTACCTTATCTGAGGAATCATTGCCCTACCCCCAACAAAAAAAGTTACAAGTTTCATATTAATAGTAAGGAAGATTTAGGATCCAGCTACGAAAAGCATATTATGAACCTTGGACACTAGAGGTCACATTTGTGACTAGAGGGTTTTTTGTTTTTTGTTTATTTTTTTTAAAGTTTATTAAAGTGTAAGAAAAACCTGTTTACTTAAAAGTGTATTTGTTAAATGTTCAGCATTTGAAATGCAACATTTCCTGACAAAACTGTTTGTAGCATTGATACTGGCAGTAATTTGTTTCCTTCTGTACAATCGCTGTGGCTATTTCAAAACCAAGTGTAGGTGTCATGGATATTTTATTATGGGACAAGGAGGTGCAAGTTCAGTTATGGTTATCTAATGGCAAGATTACAGCCAGTACTAGGAAATATATTCATATATTTTAAGTAGAAATAAAGATTCAATGTAACGTTTTATATTGCCCCTTATACCAAAGTGTGACACATATTATGGTAGTATGGTACTTCAAAGTTGACTAAAATTCTTTACAGCTTAGCTGGTAAGCCTTTTTTATTTGGTAGAAATTATATTCTTATTTTATACTTGGAAATTTATTTCTCAGTGTATTGATAGCTATACAAGAGAATTCTAGGAAAAAATATACCAAGGGTATTTTTGTAGGATACTTTATTGGGTGAGAATGTCAACAGGAGAAGCAATTAAACAGAGTTGGTGGTGGCTGCCATTAGATTCTAAAGCGACATGATTTGCTATCTAAGCAATTTTAGAATAATTAGGAAAAGTGGCTAGAGTTGAAGAAAAGGACTTAGTCATCACTTCTAGCTTCTTCTATGGTTTCAGTAATAATATTTTGATAATTTATGAAATATGAGCACTTTTAGTCTCATGAACATTTATGGTAGACTACCTTATGATTTCCTAGTGAGAGATTAATATATGCAGAACTGTTCAGTCTATGAGGTATTACAACTTATTTTGGTGTTTATATATTTCACACTTGCTTTAGTTTCAGAACATAGTTCTGGCTTCAAGAACCAGCTGATTAGAAAGATGAAACCAATGTCACATATGATAATACTCTTGCTTTTTTCTTGAAGAAAATTATCAAACAAGATACAATATTTCATAATGTTACTATATTTTAGGGTGTCTCAGAATCAAGTTGGACAGCACTTTACCTTTGTACTGACAGACATTGAAAGTAAACAGAGATTTGGATTCTGCAGACTCACGTCAGGAGGCACAATTTGTTTATGCATCCTTAGGTGAGTATTTGTAGTAAAAAAAAAATTGAATGCAAAATAGGTAACTGTATCTCTCTTTTGTACTTTGTTGTGCTTGGGATGAAGAAAAACTTGTTTTCTTTAAAAGCAAGTTGAAAAATAATTTTTCCTGACTTTCTTTATACAGAATCAGTTAAGTTTAAAGATTTACCATTATCATAGTGGAACTTTCCTTGAAAGAATCGATTTTTTAAAGATTAATTTTTTGTAGAATTATTTTTGAAAACTAAATATAAAGAGATGGATTCAAATAATATAGGAGTTTCACCTATTAAATGAAATACAAAAAGATAAGTTAAGTTAATGTATGCCCTTTTCTGTCACTGAACCTGAACTTGGATTTTTTAAAATGAACTGTGGCTTTAAGACAGAGGTTGCAAACTAATGAACCTGGTAGAAGCGTTTAGAGGTTTTCATTTGGGTACTGGGTGTTTTAAAAATTTTAAAGGACGTTAACCTTATGAATTTTAGGAAGTTTTGTATGTCGTTCATATTTCACATTCCTTTTGAAAAGTGAGGATATCTACTAATTCTGCCAGGCAACAATAAACTGGAACTGAATAGCAGATTTTTAGTTGTGTCATGGGCTTGCTAGTTTCCACAGGTCCTATCTATCCTGTATAGTTGCCTACATTATCTGCCTTCATTCAGTAGGTAGTTGAGAGTATGTGTCCTGCCTGTGGACTTGGGATCTGAGTTGCTGACTGTTAGGAAGAAAGGGATCTAAAGGTCAGCATCCTTGCAATATGTCCTGATGAATCAGAAATGCAGATGTAGTCTATAAAAATAGGACATTATACTATTATTATAATATGGATATTGGTCAAGCTAGATTTCTTAGAAATGCTCATAGGAAAAGAAATAACAATTTATGAAATAACATATTACTAAGAAAACTTTGTTATAAAATCAGTCTTCCTGTTCATTTGCTATTAATATTTAGCTACATTTGTATCATTCATTGAGTGTTTGTTAATTTACTTAGAACATTGGTTAGAGCTGGAGAGTTTTTTCCAAGCTTTATTCAAAAGTAAGTGCTTAACTGCTTTATACGTAATAGAATTGTGAATGTGCCCCCATTCCGTCTTTAGCACAACTTTTTCATCTGGATAGCAATTGTGCTTTAAACTTATACTTTATCCAAAAGAATGTCATGCTTAAAACTGTAGGTTAATTTTTTGAACTTGGAGCAGGTTGGCTGGGGAGTGGGGGTGGAGATGACAGTATGGGCAATGGTGGGAAGAGTTCCTTTCATCATTGTTTCACGCTGAAAGTTCAAAAGCTACAGTTTAAACAGGAGTATATCTTTATGCATTGTGCCCAAGATGGATTTGCCCTGATGGAAAGACCAAAGCTGTATATGCTTTCTTATTTTTCTCAATGAATTTTTGAAACTTTTCATTAAAAAATTCAGATTTACAGAAAAGTTTTCATGGCACAATGAACTTTTATATAAACATTACCTAGATTCATCAGTTGTTAACATGCATTTCTCTTCCTCTCTCCTCCTCTCCCCTACTCTCCCTTTCTCTCTCAATACACACACACACACATACACACACACACACACACACACACTTCACCTCACCTTTATTGTTTTTGTCTACCCATTTGAGAGTAAACATCATTTTCAGGTAAGATTTGAGTCTGTATTTTATAGCTTACCTCACTGCCTCTAAACTGACCTCCTGATATTTATAATTTAAAAGTCTGAGCCTTTTGTTTTGAACTTTTAAAATACTTTGAATACATTGAATTTATTAATCATTTACAAATAATTATTGAATGTTTAGAACAGTTTCTGTAAATGTGCTTGTGGAATAAATATTCTTAGGAATTTCTGTTTAAATTGAGGAAAGCAATCATTTCTTGAAAATATTTATATAAAACATGAACTATATTTGTTAATCAACAGAAAGAATAATATAAGGTTCATATTGGCAACCCAATTGTCATTAATTTGTAGGAAACAAACTCTAAAGCAAGTACAATAATCAAATTATTTTTATCTGTGGTTCTAAACTTGTATATGTAAAAGAACCCTGAATGTTGTGGTATATTCTTTAAAGTAGGAAGAGTTTTTAACCTGCAGAAAATATGATTATATTATATAAACATAGTGAAAACCAAAAGTAAAGTCATGTATACCAATAAACAGAACATTTCACAGTAAGTATTATTGAATATTTTATCTTTTATTTAAAATCATTTTTCCTTTTATATTTATTTTTGTCATTTGACAGTGCTTTTGGTAGATAAGAAATAGGAGGTATCAAAACTTTATGAAAAAATCATAGAGGAAAATCTTAAATTTAGATAATTCTATTCTCCAGCTTGTTTTTCCTAGTAAATTAGAAAAAATATTGACATTTTAAGATTTTAATGGCATATCTTAATATTTTTTCCTGAAAGACAGTATGTGAAGGGATTCTTTGAGAACAGCTGATTTAGAGAATAACCAGTAAGTTAGATAACTATTTAATTTTATTAGTGAGTGGAGGATTCAAATATAATGGAATTCAGCATCTTATTCAGGAAATTGGAAAATTATAGATAGTTAAATGTCTATTTGTAAGCTATAATCAGTGTATCCCCTGGAAAGGAATTTTGACAGATTTCTGTAAGTGCTACAGTAAGAGGAGTTATGGTGCTTTTGGTCCGAGTTTATCCACCTGGTTTGATGGTCTGTCACCACTTTTAGCTTTATAATTGTTGAAAGGATGGATAAAACTCTAAATGTCAACTAGAAGGAAAAAATTACTGTGGCAGCGAGAGTCTACATGGAATCTCTAAAAGATTTGTGTATTTGAGCACATAATGATGAAAATGCTTGTATGGTGACAAGCATAGTAAAATTTAAAATGCAAATAATAAACTGGTGGAAATATATTTACAACCACTATAAGAAAGAGTTAATAGCCAAAATACATAATAAGCACCTACAACTTAATAAGAAAAATAATCTGATAGAAAAATAAGTAAAGCATCTGATAACTTACAGAGGAAATGTAAATAATATATGCAGCTATGAATGGTGCTCAGCATTGCTGAGGGTAAAATAAATGAGCCCATTAAGGTTAGCAGAATTGAAAAAATTTTTAAATAAGCATGAGGGAAAACACACTTCATATGCTGTTTATAGGACTATAAAATGGTATAAGCTTTTGAAGGAAAATTTAATAGTATCTATTAGAATTATAAAATCTCATTTTTCTTCAGTCAGTAATTTCAGTTCTAGGAATTTAAATCCAGGATTATTTCTAAGAGTGAGGAGAAAAGTGTGAACAAAGGTATTTATTATAGCATGGTTTATAGTAGGAAAAAATGCCAATTAGCTAGATTTAGTCATTCCACAATGTATATGTCCTTGAAAACAACGTTTTCAAACAATGAGAGTAACATTCTGGTGGGAGAGAAGGGAAGGGGTTGTGGGACAGAGAGGAGGTTACACTTGAAAAGAATGTTTTCAAGTATACACAATAAGTACATAGAATTTTACCTGTCAATTTAAAGAAATAATAAAAAATAAATGTAAAAGTGTTGACAACATGAATGCCCCTCAGTAGGAATTGATTAGGTATATTATGGTACATTCGTAACCTCCTCTCTGTCCCACAACCCCTTCCCTTCTCTCCCACCAGAATGTTACCCTCATGAGGGCAGGGATTTTTGTCTTTTGTTTACTCATATATTCCCAGTGTCTATAATAGTGCCTGGCACATAATTCTTAAAAGACTTAATAGATAATTATTGAAAAAATAAATGAATAGTGCAACATTTTTTTACTATTAAGAAAAACATACACACATATATACCCTCACTTAGAGAAATATTTATGATCTGTTGTAACATGGTGAAAAATGTCAAAATAATATTTATGGTATGTTCTTATATTTGTAGAGAACAAGTTATATGTGTATGTAAATGTATATGTATTTTAAAAATAGCTAACACATAAATATTTGTATATTAATATATGATTGTATATACTTATAAAAACATCTAAAGGGATATATCCTGAACTTTTTTTACTTTATTCACTTCAGCATTTATCTACTTTTTACAATAAGCAAAAATCATTTCAATTTTTTCCTGCTCTAAAACTTTGAGATGTTATTATATAGATAATAAACTGTAAATATGGAACTATAGGTATTATATTAAAAATTAGTAGGAATTTAGCTAGATCATTTTTTGCCAGGTAAAATATGTGTGTGTTTGTAGGATAGGAAATTATCTTACTAGTATGTTTTAGTATAGGCACTCCATACCAGTCAGGTGATCATGGTGATATAGCAGAATTAAGAATGGAAATGGCTTGGCGCAGGGGCCCACACCTATAATCCCAGTGCTTTGGGGGGCCGAGGCGGGCAGATTATGAGGTCAAGAAACCCTGCCTCTACTAAAAATACAAAAATTAGCTGCGTCTGGTGGTGCATGCCTGTAATCCCAGCTACTTGGGAGGCTGAGGCAGGAGAATCACTTGAACCCAGAAGGCGGACATTGCAGTGGGCTAAGATCGTGCCACTGTATTCCAGCCTGGTGACAGAGACTCTGTCTCAAAAATAAATAAATAAATAAATAAATAAATAAATAAATGAAATAAAAAGAATGGGAATGGGACAGTTTCATTCAGTGTTCTTGAAAATTGGGATTTAAACAGAAAAAAATATTGCTAATGGGATGGCTTTATAATCTTTGAGCCAGATATTGATATTTCTCTGTAATTTCAACACAGAATGTTCAACCAGATGGGAATGATTTGTAAGATGGTTGGAGAAATTCTATTACACCTAAAATTATTTTATTTTTTCTCCTCCTCCAACAGTGGTTACTTAATTTTACTGTACCCTTAAGATGTGGTTGAAAAAAGTTTGTCTTTTTTTCTTTTCTTTTTTTTTGAGATGAAGTCTCGCTCTATCACCAGACTGGAGTGCAGCGGCGCGATCTCGGCTCACTGTAGCCTCTGCCTCTCGGGTTCA